TTCAGAACTAAGCACATGTAAGTAACGTGAAACTATTAATGCGTAATCTAATTGTGTTCGAGCATTCTTTGAAGATCAGGTCTTCATTGCTTTTCAGTTTTAGATTGAGATAAAGTTTACCTTATCCGAAAAAAGTCCATTTTTAACTTCTGAAAGTACTATTGATATACAGATTATTGGAATAAAATTTCGTTTTCCAGTTGCACTACATCTTATGGAATAAAATTTCAGATTACTGTCACATCACGAACGCCTAAGCACTTCGACTAGCAATAGACGCACCTTTCGTAATAAATATCTTTTCATACTAAGTTACACCACATTGGAGCGAATTTTGTTCTATAGCTTATTTATATTGAAGGCACCTAAATGACACATTGACGATTGCTTTTCACCGAGGTGATTTGTAGTAATTGTAATATGATTTGTTGTTAAACACTAAATATACTTCAGCATCTTCATGAGTTTCCGACTGTACTCCCATAACAAAGCACATCGTAAATAGCTTCGTTTTCTTATTTGTACTTGCTTTTTCCGCAAAGTGGACTAGCAAGAGTTTTATTCTGACGAACTAGAACTTAATTTGCGTAGTCAGATTGTACATTTGACAAAAGCAGATTATGTGGTGCTCACAATGTCCAGGAAGTTCGTTGTTCTCGAAGCGTGAAATCCAAACAATACTTTTTTTGGCGAAAATGCCTGGCACTCTAAGTGAAGATCCCATGTACATTCATGTGTGAGTTTATGACAAAACAACCAGTTTTTCCATTTAAATAAAACTGTTAGTGCATGAAAATATTTAGAACATATCGTCAATATTTACATGTTTTGAAATAATGACAAATTCTCTATTTTTATTGATACATCTCATATTAGATTAATTCAAAAGCAATTTTTGCTAACATTGATCAACAAAATGGGACTGTTCATTTCCTAGATGATCCCGAGCAGTATGACTCGATCAAAATGCTTCGAATTCTTCAGGAAAAAGTAAGCAAGCTATTATTTGATACGATCGACTTTCAGTTGACTGATGTGACATGATTTAACTCCTAAACTAATGTCAATTTCAAGTTGTTCAGATTTTGTGTTACTAAATATAACCAAGGACTAGATAAAATCAAGTGGTATGCAAAAGATGTGGAGTATTAGCAAAGTTAGCGATATTAATACTAAAATGTATTTGGGGGACAAAAGTTCGACTGAATTTAGTGATAAGCACTAGTATCATAGGTTTCTGATGCAACTGCATGTTTGAACGTTATTCCCATCAATTAGACAAATCTATGCTAGCTAACACTGAACTTCAAAGCAATAAATGTATGTTGAATGACCTCAACCTCAATGTACAACCTAAGATTTCTACGTTTTACGCAGCGCTAAACTTAGTATCGCTTCGAGAATATCGATGATCGAATTCTACCCACATATAGGTCTTCTTTGTTTACAACAGTAGAGGGAACAGTTGGGAGACTAAAATGTTACTTCCACTATGACCAAAAACCAGTTCGCAATATTCCAGCAAATAAAGGAAGCCACGTTCATCAAAAACATCTATTCACTCACACAATGGGGTTCAAAAGACTACGTTTTTAGGCACCCTCTTCATCAAATAAAATTGCCTTATCTGCATACATTAGGAAAGTGAATAGCCCTGAAAAACGCTACTTTAGTTTCTCAGTATATATAAAAATTCCACGCTTTAACTTGACCAAGTTTTCAAAATACCATCAAAAAATTGCCGTCCTAATGCCAGTAGACCGCCACAGTGGTGATGTGGCTAGTATATTTACATTCCGAGACCAGGACATGAAGTAAAGATATGATCGCCTGTTTCGAGATTCGATCATGACTCAGTGATCTAGATTTTTAATCATTCCTGGACGAATGTGAACAGGTTTCTAGTGTTTCTACTACCTCTTCTATTACTTTCGTTTTTGGTCTTGACTCCTTACTGCTTGCCATCATTGTGAATGTATTTTCAAGTGCCCTACTTTCATTATCTTTTTCAAAACCTGCCCATGAATCTCCGAGCATTTATCATTTTAGTAGTCTTTTTATACCTTCTAGGCTAGCGAATAACACTACTCAAGATTTACTCCGCACACTTCATAACACAGGGCAGGGATAAAGACGAAAATAACCACACTAACACCAACAAAAAACTAAGAATGAACAAGAAACCAGAATTTTTTATTAAAATCAGGTGTGGCATTTCCAGTTTTTCAGTCTTTATTCTTCAGTTTTTATTAAGAATAAATTGAATGGACTGCTTTATCATATGAAAATGCAATATTAGATGGACAAGTAGACACTGAAATCTCTAAATATGCGATCTATATTTGTTAGAAAACAAACGAATTATTCGTCAAGATAATTTACTTTTTTTGGATTTGCTTGATTTTTGTAAATATTTTCATATTTGTACGTTTTTTAGATAACAGAATGTGTGAATTTGGAGAAGCATTTTATGCAGTTAACTGACCGGCTAGTGACAAATCCAAACTATGCTAAACGAGTACGTTAGCGTTACATTTCATTTAGTACAAATTAGAGATCATTTTTACTTATAATGGACATGGTTCTATGTATTGTTATATTAACCAAATGTACACAACTCATTCGTACATTATTAAACTTCAAACCATATATTGCTAGTTATTTAGAGATTAATAAATCTGTCTACCACAATTAGGTTCTAATACAAACTTTATTCTCAATCCATGTAGCTGAAGGGTAAACTAATATTAATTTTTACTTGAGCTGATGTTTCTGATACGTTTGAACGGATATATTCGTAAGAGTAATTTGGTACCTCATAAATTTAGACATTGGGACAAAAGTCTTTCTAAATAACTGACTCTTTTATAAATATGTTTACAAAACATCATTCTTTAGTTCAGCTAACTGGCTACAAAAAACGATTTTCTGTGGTATTCTTTTGCACTAAGCATTCAAATTACAATTAAATAAGACTACTAGATTTAGTACTTCAGATTGAGGCGTTAGAAAATGTAAACCCTTAAAATCCTGCAAATTCTCTTGCCTTTCTGTACTTTTCTGTAGCTTACGATTTACGAAAACGTAAGTCTTAGATACTAGGTTTTTAAGCATGTAACCACATATGCGTTAACGTTTGTCGACATCTTTTGTGAAGTTAATATCACGAATTTTCACTTGATATCAAAGCTGTTTGACTGTTTAATATTGGTTCGACAAACCATTCATTCATATAAGAATATATATATATATATATATAAGTAGCTTTACATGTTTGCCTTCTTCCTTAGATGATCGAGCTGGAAACCAAGGCAGCGAAATCTGCGGGCCAGTATTGAACTCGAACAAAAATGAAGAGTGATGTTGCTTGCATTTTTATTCAGTACTTGTGAATTTAGCGTGCCTTCCTGAAATGGAAAATAAAATTAAAAAGTCACTACGCTCGAATATCCATTTCATTGTAATATTTTCGTAGTGTCTTTACACAACTCAGAATATTCTTTAAATGTGTGCATCAAAGAAAACGTAGAGTTTAGAAATAATTCTAGACAAGTCATAATTATTATGTTTGGGACTAACGGTCGAAATCAATTTACAGGTAAGTAGAAACTAGTCGAGAAGCTTGTTCGATCTGGTTATTTTATCAGTACCGATGATTTAAACGCGTATGCTTAATTTCAACAATGCTAAATATCAACGGTATGACGCAAGGATTTTCAAATCATTCCACAAGAAAGCGACAGTCAGTATCGTAGAGGATAATATCGATATTTGCAGGTCTTTATATCATTCGTTTAAAAGATCTGTTGAAAAGCTTTATTGTTAACTGACATTCGTCCAGCCATCCACAGCATCACTTAGCTCAAGGAGTACGCGTTCGTATACTATGGAATACATTTTTTAGATTTTTGAACAGTGCAAAAGTAATCACCTTTGAAATATATATACAGTACTTGTTGCTTTCGATAAACACAAAAATAAGTAAAACCGCTTATTGTGACGAATTTTCATACAAAAATTACTCACCAAATAGGCTTCTTGCGTGCTTTTCTTTGGCCTGGTTGTTTACGTTCCGCAAACCGGTTATCCTGAGACAATAAACCAGTTACCAATAGTCTATTTTTCCCCTGATCTATCGGAAGCATTGAGGCCAAACACCTGGCTATCGCCAAACGAAGAGCGTTCGCTAAACTGCTCGAACCGTCCCCGCTTACTGTAGCAATTATGTCTACTTTACCAACAGTATCTGAAAAAGTGAAGAGGTTTCTATATACTAAAATTGCATTCAGAGTTTGTGCGACATATATTGTAGCAATCATTTCAAAATCTAATAAGCTCTCACAGCTTTAGAATTCATAGGATCTGATGACAATTATAAGGAGTCTAACACTGACATTTCGCTAATCATGTGACGCAGCCGATGTGATTCCCAGAAAATAAGCGGAATGATTTTGGCATTCCCTTGCAACACCTCTTTTTTCATACACTCAATTTAGGTACGTGTAATGTATGTTCTAGACAATTGTTATAAAAATCCTAGCGGTATGTGTGAGCAGATATTATCAGGCTATTTCCCATCATAGGGAATGTATTAAATTATTTGTGTTGGTTGAGTGAAAACTGTACCAACAAATTCATTTCTGGCCTGTACCGTAAATACTTACTGTATTAGGAATGCTTATGTGCAGTCTAAAGGCTGCTGCCATTGGTTCTTTTCCTTTACGAACAATCAAGTGCAACAAATATAACCCAATATGACTGGGAAGTTATTTGCTTCAGAGTAAATCTTTGCATCCTTTAACTCTCCCAGGATTTGAACAAAGTAGTAAAGAAAATTGATATGTGGACGAGAATGATAATGATTGGTTGTCTCCAAAAATCAGGCATGTAGATAGTCTGACAGGCCTTAGATAAGTTATATATGCCCCTATCCTTATTATTGAGTGTTCATTGTTGTTGGGTTGTGTCGCGTTTTGGTGTGGAATATATTTGGGTCCTAATCAGGCTAAGCACGTGTTCTTGATCTGAGTTGTGTTGAAGTCCTGTAGAATAGACACTGGAAGGGGATCTAGTGTAGATATTCGTCTAAGGTAAATTAACGTCCCATATGTGTAGGTGAAGTAAAACCGAGCGTTATAACAAAAATATTTACGAAATACGACGAATTCGTTGCTTTCTGTTCAGTTACGTCCAAGCTAAGAATGTTAGTTATTTCCAATTATTAAAATATTGTTCAATTTGAAAAAATTGAGTGTCAATAACAATCTAGTTGTTCGTAGTGTGAAAGAAGTTAAAGATGAAATTGATCTCGGTCATTAGTTTTCTCTGCCATAAACTAGGACAATGGTTAGCTAACAAACTAAAACCAGTTTGTGAAGAGTTGGCTGTATGAAGTTTATTGGAAACTTGAATTTGCAGAAGTACGAGATCAAATAAACTTATGGTCTCATAAGTTGTACATTAATTGTTTATCAGTATCCTTTTGGAGTAGATAACTTACACTACTAGCCAATATTCATAAGGTATATCCACACCACAATTACAGCCCAAACTGTGCACAGTTTTAATCCAACAATAAATTATATCGACAAGCAAGCTATGGGAAGTCCTTTGGGATCACGACCCTTGCTGAATGATTCGTGGCAGATTTGGAAAAGACAAAATCGTTAACTGTTATCAATGAGATTTCATTTTATGTTAGATATGTTAATGACACTTGTGCAGCAATATAAATCCATCAAATGACATATTCGAAGCCTTCAATAAAGTCCATCTTTATATTGAATTTACAATGGAATATGAAACAGATGTATCCCATTTCCTTAGTTAAAGTATCCCTCAATCAGATGATGGGACATTCCACAGGTACTTATTTGTGTCGCAGAGAAAATTGGAGTGACCAGTGCCTGAAATTACACAGCCTTTGCTCTATTAACCATAAGTATGGGTTAGGGGAAACGTTTTACCAAACCCAAGTTGTTTTCACTTGAAAAACCCAAAAAGAAACATATGGAAATAAATAATTGCCTGCACAGAAAACAGTACTAAAATAAGACGGAAACTTACAAACGCGAAAAGACAATTTTTGTTCGGTTGTGATTGAAAGGTGATCAAATCATAAGTAAAATTAATCAGACAGCCTGAAAGGTATATTTCCGCTGCGAAACTGATTTCATTTCACACAGTACTAACCAGTTACATAAACGGAAACAGACAAACATGCATATATCATGTTGCATGTATATCGGAAGGATGGAGGGGCTACTCGTTTAACTAAAGCAAATCGGAGAAGGCAAGGGAGTCAACTCGATTTAATCAAACGTAAATCAATATTTATAGCCAGATTAAAGCTACAGACATGTGATGAGTAGGCTAAGATGTGCATATACATCGCTCATTTGAAAGGTCAGAGTAAATAGGCCAATAAGTGACAAGGTCAAAACGTGCATTATACTAAGCGGTAATTGTTCTCAGTAATTTAGGTCTATCATCCTCAACTACTTTCACGCCACCACAGTTCATTTCTTCAAATTGAACAATATAATAATAAATGTTAGTAATTAAAATTATTAGCTTGGTCATAACTGAAGAGAAAACAATGGATTCGATGTATTCTGCAGACAGTCATATCTCCTAAGTTGAGCTTTGTGAAGAAAACCCGTAGCATGAAACTCAGGGTTTTTTTTAACAATTTCAGTCCACTTTCGTTGGTCCATTAGGGAATTTCGCCTTTGATAATTCTTATGTGTTGAGTTGCTTAAAGCCGACTGCTACTTTACCATTAAATTTAGGAGTAGATTTGTTTTATTTTATTGTCTTGTTTTTTTTATTTACCGTAAACTGTGTAGTTTTTGGAATAAATTTTAAAAAGCTATGTGATAAATGTATTTGCTCTGTGGTAGTAGTAATACACTACTTTGTGTTTGAGCTCGGATTGGCGTCAAAATAAAAGCATATAGAAATAGTCTCATTAGACGATTGTCAACTGAGAGTAATAAGTATATATCCAAATGATTGTACTGCTTGATCGTCTACTTTCCAAGATTTGAAGAGAAGTGGTTGGGAATTATAAATTGACTTGGTTTTAGCTCGACTTCTGATCACATTAGTTCACATAGAAGGATAGAGATTTGTGCTTCTTAACCTCAAATGTCACCAAACATTTCACTGGGACTCGTAGAGAGCGAACCAGTTAAACTCGTAAGTTGATGAGATTGTAAATCTTCATTGACTGAGATGGCTGGGCCACGCGTTACGTATGCCCGAACACCGTTTACCACGACGCGCAATGCTGGCCAGTGATGGGAATGGTTGGAAGAAAGTTAGGGGTGGCCAAACCAAAACGTGTCATCCGTGTTTGAATTCACTACTGGTCTGAGCCGTGTTGGTAGATGCAGACTACTTGGTTGGTGTTCGCGTGACTGTCGTAACCAATGGTTGGAGACTCTGGGTGACATGGCTCAGAATCGGTCACAATGGCGTCGGCGTATACACTCTTCGTCTTCCCTCAAACCGTGAGATTAAAATTGCTTTATACCTTACTTTCTACCGACTAATTCTTTCTTCCTGTGCTATATCCTAATAAACAATCTATTTTATACACTACTACCAGTGAAGTATCTGCTTTTATGAATTTGGTGTTCATCTTGTTGTGCTAATGAGATGTGGCAACTTGTACCGATACATATATGCGCCTGGTCCTATGTTGTATTTGACTGCACAAAATGGGAACAAAAGAAAACAGAAAAGCGACACAATGTCGAGTGGAAACGACTGTTACCAAATAATTGTGAATATAATTTGGGGATGCGATATTTTTTCGGTTTTGATTACCATTTAATTTGTGTGTGAGTTATGATACTGTCCGTTTGCTCAAACTGTAGCACATGGTTTTCTTAGGGAGCCTGTCCCCAAATCCTTGACCTAGAAGTCTAATCCACCAGACAACATAACAACGTTATGAGATGCAGTAACGTGGTAGCTGGTCACCAACAATAGGTTCATACGCCATTTGATCTCTCAGAATCCTAGAGCTTAAGTGCACTATTGTTTTGTAATCAAGGATTCCTAACCGTCCTAATTTGAATACTCCGTACCCACTAGCCCGGTTTAAGCACCAGACTCTGGCTGTTCATCCTCTCAGTTAATTAGGCGACACCCTGCTGCGAGACGCCAGTTAGTGAGAATTCCCTAGTGGAGACTTTATACACGCGGCCATATGAGAGCTTTTAAAGAGGAGCGGTATTTCTCCACTCTTGGCTGTACCAAGGCTGCAAGTAGTTAGAGAAACTGGATTTTTTTCCCTAAATAATTCTATTATATAACACTTGGATTTTCAAAAACGCAATCCAAAGTAAAATATTTAAAAACTTGCTTGTTTGCTGTAAAGGGAATACTATTTGTTCTCGATTTCCAAGCTCAGGAAATATTTCTAGAAGTCGTGCTCCGTTTACAGTGAAGTCACCAGTGCCAGGCATGTATAGTGTTACTTCAGCAAGCGAGTTTTTCTTTTGACCGAATGCTTGGACACATTTTCTGTTTGTTACTGAGTCCATAAATGGCTAAAAAGTCAATTTGTCTGACATAATTAAACCAACCTCGGGAAGTTTAATTTCTGAAGTAGGACCGCATATTTGGGCTTTGTAATTCTGAATAAATTCTTCCACCAAATACGACAATGGGTGTTCTGATAAACGCTTCATTAAAACTAACCACTGTTTATACTGTCACAATTATAACATAATATATCCGGACAAATACTCAATACCTGTGCATCCGATATGGTTTCGTTAATCATTTTTATGAGATTTATTTTCGTCATAAAGTCGCTTGACGTCGCATAACTGAAAGCGAAAGCAAGTGGGTAGTTGATTAGCAAAGTAACTAAGGTCGAACATTTTAAGTGCAATCAAATTGTAAAAAGATGTTTGTAAAGCGGCGATCGTTGGGTGATTTCAACTCAGATATTCATCAGTTGCAAATGACTGCTTCTAACCAATGATGACGAGTCACTGCCCGGTTGAAAATTGTATGCTTCCACCAAATACGAGTAGTGAAGCAGTTTTTCTGAAACCACGTGCACCATTCGAACTAGCTGCTCTCAAAGTCCGCACACCTATGCAGGTCGGACAACTGATAGGGCTCGCTATGTCTTTGGAAAGTCTTAATATAGACGTTTGTTGTCTATCCGAGAACCCTATTCAAGACTCTGGTGAATTACTACTCCATCGACGTCTAGTACGATGGGCAGAATTCTTCGAAGGGCAGTTCAACTGGCCTGCTCCTCCGGCAACATCAATCAGACTGTCCTGTCCTCCATGGTCGCTGACGACTGATCCACCAAATCAGGCGGAATTCCGCAAGGAACTCCACCTCTTGAAGCGCGACAAATCACCTGGCCCAAATGACTTACCTCCAGCTCTTTTTAAAGATGGTGGTGACTTTCTGACTAAGGAACTGACGACGTTGTTTACAAAGTTTTGGGAGCTAGAGAGTGTACCAACGTCATGGAATGAGGCGTTAGTTGTCCCTATCTTTAAAAAAGGATCACGTCGTTCCTGTAACAACTATCGGGGGATAATTCTACTTCCGATTGCGTCCAAGCTATTGGCTTCCGTGATACTTCGTAGATTGTTCAGAACCCAAGAAAGATTGACTCGGGAAGAGCAGGCTGGTTTTTGTTCTGGTCGAGGATGCATTAATCATATCTTCACTCTCCGCCAAATGTTAGAACACCGTAATACTTATCACAGGTCAACAATCGTAGTGTTTCTTGACATCAGGGCTGCCTTCGATTCGTTGAACAAGACTGTTCTCTGGGATTGTCTATTGAAGAAGGGTGTGCCTGAGAAGTTTATTAACATCCAGCTCTGATGGATGTAAATAATGGTGGTGTGGATCTGTTGCCTGTAAAAAGACTTCTCGACCTTGAGTATGCGGATGATATTGTCTTACTGTGCGATAATGCCCAAGCCATGCAATCCGCACTTAATCAGTTGGCAATCAGTGTCCGTAGGTATGTTATGTGCTTTACACCTTCGAAGTACAAAGTACTTTTACAAGACTGGCAGGATTCTAATCCTGTACTCACTTTGGGTGGTGAGCAGGTAGAAGTAGTCGGGAATTTTGTGTACCTGGGTAGATGCATAAGTGCCGGTGGTGGCGTGAGTGATCAGATCAATCCACGTATAGTGAAAGCCAGAGCGGCTTATTCCATTCTGGGCCACCATTGGCACCTTCATGATATCAGTCTGGCTGTAAAAGGTCGGATCTACAACGCGTCGGTGAGAGCAGTTTTGCTCTATGCTTGAGAAACCTGCCCTCTCCGAGTTGAGGACGTCAGAAAACTCTCTGTGTTTGATCATCGCTGTCTCCAAAGGATTGCTGACATCCAGTGGCAACACCATGTCAGTAATGCAGATGTTCGGCATCGTGTGTTCGGGCACAGAGATGATAATGCAATCGATGCCACCATCTTGAAACACCGATTTCGGTGGCTTGGACATGTTCTCCGAATGTCGTCCCAGAGAATTCCACGTCGTGCATTATTTGCGGACGCGCGGACTGGTTGGAAAAAGCAGAAAGGTGGTCAGTGTATGACATGTTGTCGCGGAATAAAAGAAAGCTGCAAAGGACTGGCTTCTGTCGGTCCTTCACGACTTCATGGTTGGGGTGCTAGAGATTGTGCGACACATTGGCTAGAGACGTTATCATATATGGCTCAGAATAGAAGCCAATGGCGATCCTGCTGTAACGTTCTTTTACTTTCTTCCTAAAAGGTGGTTGTATCTTCTTTAACTGAAAGAATTCTTCTGGTTGTACCTTTCCGTTCTTCCCATTATTATTATTATTACACTTCCTTACACCAATCTGGTCGTTATTGTTCTTCTTTTTTTTTCATTTACGCTCCTGATCTTTTTTCTCCCCATTCTCATTGTTTTGTGTGGCGCATATATATTTGTTGCCCCGTTGTACCAATATTTATGTGTTCAAATAAATAAATAATAAATACTAACTACATGGTATAGTTACATCGAAGATTCAAACCTCTTCTGCACAATCCAACACATCCCTATTTAACAGATGACAAGTTTATGGAATGATCTATTCACATTTGACCTATCTGGTCATTTTAGTGACTTTCAGATGAAATTTTCGTTACATAAGGAATATAACTGTTGAACAAATAACTTTCGCACCTCGATTATTCTGTAACCAATATGAATCAGCAACATAAAATACCGGTTTCCTTAATGAATACTTCACAACTTCCAACTCGACTTTCACATCACATTTCAGTTCTCTGTTGGTGAATTTTGAGGGAAGTACTCATCAGAATAAACGGTGACTCATGGGAAAAATCATAAACGTGTAAGCAACGAAAACTGAATACATGAAATTCAAAAGAAATGTCTGTGATGAGGATTTACAGGAGTTTCTCACGAAAGATCTCTCCAATTTCAAGCACCATAGATATATTTGAAATAAGCTCCTAAGTGAAAGATGGAAGTTTGGTCAACATGTCATTTCTGGATTGCGATTAGTGTATTTGAAGGTAAACAGCATAGAAGAGAGTTTTTCGAGCCTGAATTTGCCAATATTTTTGACTGATGATTTAAACGACAAAGATGCCATTAAAGTCAGATTACAATACATTCATTAGGACACTAGCTAGCTTCTTTAGGAAAACCTTGTTAACTATTCAAGACCAGCTAATAAGCTTGTTAGACTTTTATTTTAATTTAATACTCACGAACTATGTGTAACATCTGACAAGATGACACGGCTTTACGAACTGGAAGTTTAGTCTTAACGTGATTTGTATTTCTCAAAATTTCGCTGTCCTCAGGCAAAACAAGTACCGTATTTTTTAACCAAAGAATCTGTCCTGACCTTAACGTCCCATAGATTACCTTTATTTTTATGTTTTAACCAAGTTATGAGTTAACTGTGATTTTTCATTAGCTGAATATTCAGTTTCATCAGTTTTTCAACCAACCATTCCCATCACTGGCCAGCATTGCGCGTCGTGGTAAACGGTGTTTGGGCATACGTAACGCGTGGCCAGCCATCTCAATCAATGAAGATTTACAATCTCATTAACTGATTTACCATCATTCACTAATATTACCCTGCGTCTAACCTCACTATTACTTACCCGATAATCCCAGCATATGTTGGCAATATTTCTAAGACTTACGACTTATCGACTATATTTCGCCAGCGTAAAGTAAAGCAGATGGGTATCTCGCCTTTGCCATAGGTGACGTAAGTTGGCAAAAGCCAAGCGAGCTTTTTGAATCCGTGCTGAGATTTCGTCACACACCAACCCATTAGGGCTGATCAGACTTCCAAGATAAGTGAAGTTGTCAACGCGTTCGACTATTTCACTCCCTATCCTCAGTTCAGGTGGTAACGCAGACCAGTCCTGAAGCAACAACTTGCATTTAGAGGGAGAGAAGCACATTCCAAACATTCTGGCATTGTTGCTCAGTGCTACCAAAAGACTGCATTTTGTCAGCGTCTTCACCAAACAGGACTATGTCATCTGCGTATTCTAATTCGATAAGTGGACCCCCTGGTAGGAGATCAGTACCCGAGAACTCAGTCGACGAGAAAGTTATTTCCAGTAGATCTATGATGAAGTTAAACAAAAACGGGGAAAGTGGACAGCCTTGACGGACACCACTTGAGGTTGCAAAAGCAGATGACAGTTCGCCATAAGCTTTGATTCGACTAGTAGTTTTTGAGTAAAGAGCCTTTACAAGGTTCATGTACTTCTGTGGTACGCCTTTCGATGACAGACACTGCAACAGAATCTCGCGATCTACAGAGTCAAATGCTGCTTTTAAGTCGAGAAAGACCACCATTGTCGGACGCCGATAAGCATGCCTGTGTTCTCAAACCTGACGAATGGTGAATATGTGGTCGATGCAGCCACTACCAGGTCTCACCCCCTACATGCGGTACGGTCGAGAGTGGAGATAGACTGCTCTCCTTCTAAAAATGCTCTCACATGGCTTTGTATTTACAGCTACTGCCATTTTCTCGTGTTTGCAGTTCATGACTTTTATTAGCTGCCCGATAATTATTGAAGCTAGTATTTTAGATGCTATGTTAGTCAAACTGATCCCTCTATGGATGTCACAGGATGATTTTGACCCGTTCTTATATATTGGAACAACTAGTGAATGCGACCAGTCGGATGGGATTACGTCTTACTCTAAGTAAGTAAACTGCCTAATGTATAAGATCTTACGTGGAGGTCACATTATCGTCTACAACAACCAATCGCGTTATAACAATCATCAATATATGATGAGCATACTTAGGCCAGTGATAGAAAAACATATTTAATATGAATAAAAGCTATACGACAATATTCAATAATGACCGCGCCAGCAAAGCCGAGATATGCCATCCGAAAAATTCGAAATAATTCAACTCCTTGCCTTTACCATCGCTGGGTTTTTCTCCGTGTTAAATGTTGAATATCTATTTCCCCAGTTGTCTCGTGTTCAGCTTTGAGGGTCGTGTGGTTAGGGCTCATTGCCACTACAAACTCTCACCTGGGGGTTGAAAGATCTTCATTTAGATGTATTATGACGCCTCGTGGAGAAAACGGAGTTTCTTCGTAAATCATGAGGACGATTCGCCTTCTAATAACCAGAGCAACAATTAATATAGGTGTCTGGAATGTTCGGAAAATGTGGGAGACTGGGAGGACCAGTTGAATAGCTGAAGAAATGAGGATATACAAATTGGCGGTACTCGAAGTAAGTGAAACACATTGAACTCGAGCTGGACAGGAAAGATTAGCTTCGGTGGAGATACTGTCTAAAGA